CAGCGCCAGAGTGTTTGTTGGAGCTCTCACCCCACAGTCTGGCTTTCAGCCTAGCCCTCCAGTGTTTAGTTCTGCTCCAGCCCTCCACTATTTATTTCTCAGCTCCACGGCCTCTGCTCGGTGGTTCGGTTCTGGTTCCGCTCTCACCGTTGGTGTGTCAGCCCCAGCCCTGCAGGTTTTATTCCAGCTCCACATCTGGGGGTGGGGCTGCTTCTCTCAGCAGCACTGGGGCTGCTTGACAGGGTTAGAAATCACTCACTGTCCTCACTGCTGCACCAATATCAGCTAATTACTGTTTGTCCATGCAATAAAGGCTTGGCCCCTGCAGCCCTACTTGGCCCAGAGGCTGTCTCAAGCGTTTGATTCAGCCTGGTGCATGCTTATCTGCCAAGCTCTGCGGGCAAGCTTGACCAGACCCCCACCTTCTGTGGGGGTCCTGCAGCACTGGGCACCCCCAAACCCTGCCTCACAACCCCCATGCTCTCACCCACAGACACACCACACCACCACACCACCTTCCCCTCAAAAGGCATTTTGGAACTGGGAACAGCCACTTGGCCTCTGGTTCCCTCTCCCTAAAGGCAGCACTCGGGTTGGATCTGAGCCCCCAAACAGCCCTGAGCCTCCAAACCCTTCCAGCTTGTTCTCAGGACAGAAGCACAGCCCTGGCTCCAGTCCCAGCGCTGAAGGTGCAGCCCCAGATCTGATTCAGTGCTTCTGGGCCACATTCTGCAGCCCCACAGGCAGCCTCTTTGTTTCAGGGCCTGGAGCCCTCCTGTGGGAGTAGCCCCCCCCAGCCCAGTGCTCTGGGCTGAGTGCTTGGAACTGCAAGTGGAGCAGGCCTGTGGAGTTGGGGACAACACCCAGCTGTTCAGGAGAAGATTTCTTTTTTGCTTTATTTCCAGGTTGTTTTGATAAACAACGTACATATAATAACAGAACCAAACAACAATAAAATAATCCCAGACTAAAAGAATCACCCTCACTCAGCTCCTGGTGCTCCTTCCAGCTCATGGACCAGAGTCCATGAGGGTCTTTAAGAGAGTCAGGCTCTGTAAGCACTGAGTGAGAGAGTCCCTGGCTCTCAGCAGCTCCTAGCACTGGTAATGACTGATAAGTTCACAAATCACTCCATGTCCTCCCTCTAGTATCAAGCTCAACTGTTCTCCTGTCCCAATATTGCCTTAACTAGTGTGTGAATAAAGGCTTGGTCCCACTTTGCCTAGAGACTAGCTCAAACATCTGATTTGGATAGGTTGGGAAGTGAATGGTCCCCTGCCTCCATGGAGGGGCCTGCAGCCTGGACACCCCTCCGCACCCCCTCCAACCTGAACAGCATTTGGGGATGGGGAACAGCCACTCAGCATCTAGTTTCGCCTTCCCTAAAGACACTGCTCAGGATGGGGCTGAGCCCCCAAAACTCCTCCCAGGTTATTCTCAGGCTAAAGCTGCAGCACTTAGTCTCTTTTGGAGCTGCT